AAAAAGGGCTCCATAGGCCGCCAAATATCCAGAGTTACAGATCCTCAATTTTATTAACATTTTAAAAGTGATTAATGATATCTAATATGCAATTTTTCATGAACAAAGATAAAACAAGGGAAATTTAAAATTAATTGGAAAGAAGTATAAATTGGAGTGTATGTCCCTGCTGATCAGAAGTTCTAAATGGAACTGGTTATAATCATATAGTCTGTCTTTGCCTTTTTATGACCCTCAGCTGATGGGGACTGAGGATTCCAGCAGTCTGGGAGAAGCCAAAGCCTATCAGAGCAAGCACTCTGCATTTAAAGGACCCTGTAAACTGCTGCACCAAGAAAACCAGAGTCCAGGTCTTCATTCTTAAGCCTGCAGTCAGGTCATCACCATAATCTGTACAACAGAGTATTTATGGCCTGGATCCCATATGGAGCCAGTCTTATCTCAGGCAACTAAGTTATCTGCATAAGATAAACCTGTGCTAAGACAAGAGTGCATGGCTTAAATGTAGGTCTTCATGTATGGGATAAAGTCCCACTTGGTCAAATGAAGTTTCATGTTCTTCCTCTGTGAATGTGGTGTTTATTTTATGGTGCAGCAAAGGCAGACATCGAAGTCTTCGTCTTTGCATCTGATCCTAGGCAGATGGTGATGTTAAAAGATTAGTACTTAAGTTGCTAACTATCCTTCAGTTACTATATAACTGAAGGATAACGATCTTGAAGAATTTATGGAAGTAGTAGATACTTTTTGGTTTGCCTGTAACCAGAATGAGATACCTTGTCTGTTATTTTAGCTCCACTCTGCTCCCACTAAGGTCATTTTTGGTACAGTGTTTTGTTACACAAGACAAATATGACTCAAATAAAGGACTTGTCACTGTGAGTTTCACTTCTGTACATCTGATGAACAGGCTTTGCTGGCTGTGTGCATATATATGGGGAAGAATTTCCTAGGGCTAGGTTCTTGGAGTTGCCCCCTTAATGCCTTCTTTCTCTCTGAAGAGAATTGTTTTATCTTTAACAGTATTCCTTGATGGAAGTCTGACCTAGAGAAAACTGTTTAAGATACCTGTATCTCTCAATTTTGAGGCAGGAAAAGAACTCTGAAGAGATTATAGGGATTGGAACTATCAGAAACAATCACAAACAATGGGCTAGAAAAATGAGAACAACAAATTTCCTCCTCTAATTTCAGGTGTTAACCCCAAACTGCTATCTGGACTATAAATTTTTTGAGATTAGAAATAATATCTTTTTTGTTTTTGTATCCCCAATATCTAGTACAATACCAATGCCTCAGTACATGCTAAAATAAATGAACGAATGCATACATGCACAGATTAATTACATGCCCTCCTTCTGGTCCCCTACTTCAGCCTTATGATTGCTGAGAGAGGGAAGCTGATGCTTTAAAGTTCTTAAAAGTTTTAAAAGTACTGAGAGAAAAACTGGGATTACAATTTGAGGAGAAATTAGGGGAAGTAGCTCCAAGGAAGGTTATTGTTGGTTCCAGATAAATAGTTTGAAAATCACAGCAATAGGAATATTAAAGCCTTCACTAAAACAATTACAGAAAAATTGAAAGAATAACTGCTCTGAGTGATTTTTTAAGACACTGTGAAAACATGCAACTAATTACTACAACATGACTGTCCTCAGGAGATAGCAGGTGATATATGGAGCACACATATATATGTGTATATTATGCTCCTTACCTAAATGATTATATGCATACATTTCCTGGAAAGCCTATCAATCCACTAAATTGGGAGATGGCTAATGAAGTTCTCTTTCTAAAGGTCTAGGAAAGAACAGGTCATACATTTTAGGAGATGGACCAACTCTGTAGCAAAATAATTTCAGAGAGCAGAGACTACTCTGAAATAACAGTAGTTTCATACACATGGTGTTAAGGAAAGTCTGCTAGAGATGGAAAAAAAGGCTCCATCTTCCCTAATTACCTTAAAAATGTGTGCTTTGAGGATGTGATGTCCCAGTTCAATAGTCTGCTGTCGGTTTAGTTTTCCCTCTTGGCGGGAAAACCAGAAGGCAAGTAATGTGTGACCACTCCTGCAAAGAAAGAGAGATTCATTTTAGAAATTTTAATGCCCTAATTCTGCTTTGGGTGGGGGAGTGTTCACATCTAGCCAACTTTAAACAAAACTCTCATTCAACCAGTTTCTTGGGGACCTGCTATTGGACAAATAATGGGTATTAAAAGTTTCCTAGAGCCAGGAGCCATGGTGCATGCCTGTAATCCCAGCACTTTGGGAGACCAAGGCAGGAGGACTGCTTGAGGCCAGGAGTTTGAGACCAGTCTGAGCAACGCAGTGAGACCCCGTTTCTACAAAAAAATAAAACAAATTAGCCAGGTATAGTGGTGTGTGGCAGTAGTCCCAGCTACTTGAGAGGCTGAGGTGGGATGATCGCTTAAGCCCAGGAGTTAGAAGCTGCAGTGAGCTATGATCACGTCACTGCACTCCAGCCTGCATGACAGAGTGAGATCCCACCTCTTAAAAAAAAAAAGTTTTTAGGCAGCTCTTTACCCAAATCACATGTATGAATATCACAAAATGTCATTTCAAGTTGGCTTATACCCATCCCACACACAGACGACATTAAAAGATTTTCATTTTCTGTCTCTGCCAGCAACTCTTATTTCACCCATGCTTAAATGTCAATGTTCCTCAGGATCTCATTTTTGGTCCTAGTCTGTCCTCTCTCTAGATTAGCTCATCTATCTTCAAAGCCTTTACCACCACCTATATTCTATATCTTTTTCCTCTATCTAGACTTTTCATCTCAGCTTTAGACCAGTATATATCCAACTGTCTATTGGATTTCCCCATTTGGAGGTCTCATAGTACCTCAAACTCAACATGTCCTAAGCTGGATTAACAACCTCTTCCCCAAGCCTGTACCAAGCCTCTACCCTTTCCCTCCAGCTGGAGAGAGTGGAGTACTTTCTTTTTGGTGGCACCAGTATAGACGGTGTCTACCTCTAGTACTGTATTTATACTGTCACATGCTCTCTCCTCCATCACACTGAGTTTCCTGATGGCATTCATTCCCCTATATCTCTGTGCTAACAGATCCCCAACCTGTCCATGAAAGAGAAAGCTCTTTTTTCTGCCTCTGGATGTTGTCCTATCTGGCCACGATGCCCAGAACTGCCTTGGCCCTTTCATAAATCATGTGGTTAGCTGGCCCGAGGACAAAGCCAACAGGAGGGCTAGGCTAAAAGAACTGCAGAAAAATAGAGCTTGAACCCTATTAGCTGCCCTAATTTTGCACTTCTTGTTATATAAAGTAATACATTTCTTTATTGTTTAATCCACTTAAGTTGGAATTTTGTTTCTTTCCACTCAAAGCATCCTAATGATATACTTCTTTAAGTGTCTATGTATATAGGTCTGTGTATGTATATGTGATATATAGATATACAGGGTTGTATGTATTTCTATTTATGCTTATAAAAAGAAACCAGAATTATTTATATTCTCCATACTAACACAGCCGCTTGCATATAAAAATGCTCAGTAAAAATTTTTTAGAAGAGAAAATTTGACATTAAAGAAAGGATACAATAGCCTGTAAGAATTGAGGATACTCAGAACTGTCTCTCTACTGCTTACCAGGTGAGTAGTCAGCAGACTTCTTAATGCCACTGGTAACACAACTCTTCTACTCTTTTCCTTTGGTGTGCCATATAAAATGGAAATGTAACCAATATTTCAGTTTCAAGTCTAATGAATTAATCAAACACAAGGAAAAGCAGCAAGTGAATTTTTGCTGGTGATGCTTTCCTTAAAGGAGGTCCAAATGTCTACTGGATGATTTTCTCTCATATTCAATACTAACTACTCAGCCAAGTTTAATCTGAAGATACCTCACAGAGAAGTCTGAAAAACAAACAACATTTTTTATTTCTTCTTTGATTTTTTTTTTTTTTTAAAGCTTCAGTAAAGAACCTGGAGAATAGGGGGTGGGATAGCTCCCATTTTACATAGGAATCATCTCACAGAGATTTCATTCCAATAAGATTTTAAAAAGAAATTCTAACCTTTGGCTTCACAGAATTTCTAAATTGTAGTGGATACCAGGTCACCTTGTTTGACTGGATAAACGTACCCGTAATAGAAAAGAAGTTATTTAATTGGGAGGATGTCTCAGACAAGCGTAGCCTGCATGGAATCATCAGTATCATCTGAAGGTCTGAGCCCAGGGTTGTTTCATACAACTGTGGCAATCTGGAAATTGCCACTGAACTTTTATTTATCCCATGAAAGCTCAGTTTGGTTGAGAGGCTATTATAATAGAGCATAGGGAAGTTAGACAATAATGAGAAGCATTTATTAAGTGCCTTATTCTCAAAGTCTCAAAATTCTATCCAGCTATTAACAGTGAAATGATTGTAGCCTCCCTGGTGTAAGAACTACTACCTTAAATGACTCATCCATGGCTGTACAATAATAGTGACTAGAACTCCTGAATATAGCCCTCTGATCCAGGTCTACCTGTGCTTTAGGCCATTAATGAGAATCCATGCCTATTAGGATTAAGGTAAAAAGCTGTGCCTGACAAGGAAATGAATTTTCAGTTACATACAGAATTGACTTTGCCCTCGTGTTTTCATTTTACTATCATAATTAAGAAATCCTGGTAAGATGTTTACATTTTTCTAGTCTTCATTTCAGCTAGCTAGAGATGATAGCGCTTGCTTTTGTTGTTGATCAGGCACTGAGCAGAAACAGCAAGCAATAAAGGTCAAGGATAAGAGGAAGGTGACAACTATAGTTCGTTTCTTTTTAAATGCAATCATGCTACATTACTCATAAAAGAACGGTTCTGATCAATCCATTGGATTCAAAGCTTGTGGTGTGTAGGACACAAAGAGAAGCAGCAATTTACATTACACACTGACTCTCACGGTGATATCTTGAGCACTGAGATTTAGTTTTGCTTCTCTGCCTGCTGGATCTCTCTACCTCCATCACTATCAATGAAACTCACTTTTTGAAGTTGGTGCTTTCCTTAAAAACTAAACCTACTTAAGACTTCTTTTTTTTTTTTTTTTTTTGAGACAGAGTCTCACTCTTTTTGCCCGGGCTAGAGTGAGTGCCGTGGCGTCAGCCTAGCTCACAGCAACCTCAAACTCTTAGGCTCAAGCGATCCTTCTGCCTCAGCCTCCTGAGTAGCTGGGACTACAGGCATGCGCCACCATGCCCGGCTAATTTTTTCTATATATTTTTAGTTGTCCAATTAATTTCTTTCTATTTTTAGTAGAGACGGGGTCTCGCTCTTGCTCAGGCTGGTTTCGAACTCCTGAGCTCAAACAATCCGCCTGCCTCGGCCTCCCAGAGTGCTAGGATTACAGGTGTGAGCCACCGCACCCGGCCCAAGACTTCTTTATTTTTAAAATATTGCCAGTCCCTCAGGCATAAAACCTAATAATTTTTTTTTCCTTCTCTATACTTTCTTACCTGAATAATTGCAAGAGTCTCATTCTCTCCATTCTGTTCTCCACTGCCCGTTAATAATCCACACTGCAGAAACCTCATCAAAATTCTTCAGGCTTTATATTTCTTCTTATACATAATTTAAACTCCTTAGCGTGGTATTCAAAGGCATTCTAGACTTTTTCCCTTGTCTATTTGTCTTTACCTCCTCACCTTGTACTTTCCATTCCAGATGGAGAAAATTATTTGTAGCGTTTCAAACATGTTTTCCCTCTTTCTGGAATTCTCTTTCCTGTTTAGTTCATCAGGAAAACTATTTCTCATTCTTCAAGTCTTAGTTCACACCATCTCCACTGTGAGGTCTTTCCTGGTGCCCCCTCATAGATTCAGGGGTTCTTTTCTTAGGTTACTGTGGTACCTGGTACACATCTCCATTATGGCACCCACTGCAGGACCCTCTGTTTTCACGTCAGTCTTGCCACTAGACTCTATTGAGGACAAAAGCCAGGCCTTTTCACATATATATGCCTAGGTAATAGGAGTACATATCTCCTATGAGATATGAATGAATGAATAAGTAATAATATCTTACAACTGCATGCTGTTTTATGGTTTTCAAAATACTTTAACAATTTTTAGATTCTCACAAAAACACTATACTGTAGGCATACCAGTAAATATTACTCCTAATATTAAGGTGGACAATTGACTGAGACTCAGCAAGATTGAGGGACAGATCCTAGCTCACATGGCGTGGAAGTAGCAGTTCAGATCAGAAGCCAAGTTCTTTTGAAACCTAGTTCTACTGAAACCTAGTTCCATTACCCGTATTGACAAGATCAGCTACTTGGTTTTTGTTTCTGAGCACATCTATGTGAAAAAAATCTACCACTACAGAGAATAATATATTCAATAGTATAGCATAAACTCTGAATTCTTAACATAATTAAAATAGGCAACCAGTAATTCTCACATATTTTGATGGCACTTTGGGAGACAGTAGGTAAGAAATAAGGTAGAGCTAGCCCTAGTATAAGTATGACATGATTTTAGGCATGACTGAACACACCATGATTTCCTTCTATAATTAAAGATAATGGCAATAAAAATCACCTTTAATATGGGTTCAGATGTTCAGATGTGGTTATAAAGACCTTGGTGGGGGAGTGGTAAGGACAGAAGAATTATTTCTACACAGCTTGTATAATGAGATCACCTTGTGATTCAGTTACCCTGTAAATTTCCCTGTCTGCCTTCACAGTGCTGCCTCTTCATCTCTGAAAGTGAAACGGACCTAAGTTGAAATCATAGTTCTGCCACTTACAAGCTTTATAACCTAGGACAAGCTATTTAACCTCTCTGTAAGATAAGGATAGTAATACCTATCTCTCAGAACTCTGGTAAGAATTAAGTGAGACATATTAAGTGAAGTATATTTTATATTTCTTCTGTACCCTCCATAGTAACTAGCACAATGTCATACTAAAGGAGTGACAATAACTCTAAATGACTTTAAATATAGAAGGGGATGTGTGTCAAATAGAACTTTAATCTTTAATGTGTGTAGCAGGGTGAATTGTGATACCCTATCCTGAACCTTGATCCTTACCT